GTAACGAACACGCCATGTAGAAAGAACAGACATTTCTTGACATGCAATAGTAGCCTTTTCAGTTACAGTGTAATTGTACAGCAATGCTGTAACACCGCTATCTTCAAACGGATGTAGTTGTTACAGTGACTTGTTTCCGCTGGGTAATCCCACTCGTCTTTGCGGTGAGCTTTCCTTTCTGAACGTGATCAACTTGAGATCACTTCAAGTTTGAGGTAAATGCTACACTGGGGATGTTTGTCTTAGTAACGCTAAGCTAACACTCACGGTGCATTGATTTACACACAAGTGACGCACGAATGTTTTATTTTTGAAAAAGAATTCTTCAACAGAAAAAAATTTTCCGGATTATTCTCAGACCGCAATAGCCATATTCCCACGTAAATATTTCGAATATGAACGTCTCTTTTTTGTGTTAACATCCAATTGCTTTCAAGATGGATAAGATTTATTCACGAGCAAAATTTATAGAAATTCATTTTATTATAACTCCAGTTTAGCTTGGCGTTCATTGTACTCCCTTTCCCAAAAAGCTTTATGAAAACACAGATGTTGAAACTCACATTTTCTGCCTTCATGGGCATGCATGCATCCTTCGAATCTCACGTCCCCTTGTAACTAGGTTAAGTCAAAGGAACAAAACCTGGCGTGCGAGACATGCTTAAAAAGCTGTTTCAACATGAACAAGAGGGTTTTGATTAGAAAGCTCGAAGACAGCTTTCGAGTGTTGTTACCTTTTTGTGTCTTTTTTGAAAAGAGAAGGATGTGTTCATTCAACCATTAAACCCAAACAAATCATTAAATGGGCATACAGGATGAGTTCAAGTCCGCTTTAACGACCTCTGTCCCTCACGTTTTGTTTCATTGAGCTATTTAGAGCGAAGGCATTGTTATTCGTTCACAAATTACTCTGAGGCACATTTTATAAATAGAAAACTTGGATGGAGTTCAAATTGGTTGTATGTTCAATCGGGAACGTTTATTAGTTTCCACGCAGATGTTCCTCAAAAGGAATTGGACAACTGTTCTCCCTTTTCCCTGTCCAGTTTATATTTTCCTCAAAAAACAAGGTGGAAAATGTACGGCACCTCAATAACAAAAAGGAGAATCTGTACGCTTCTTTCAGAAGTCTTATCCCACGAAGTCAATATTTGAAAGGTTTTATTTATTCGATAGTGCAGAATCATGTTTCCGCATTCCCCCCTTATTTCTTGAACCAAAGTCCTTTTACGGCGGAAACCGCTAAATCATTCGGTAAATTAGATAGGAAAAATTCAAAGCTAAGGAATCTCGCTTATCACGAATTGTCAAAACAAGCAAACGGCGTATGCCTGTGAGCACGTCGTTGACTTAGAACGAATTTTGGTTAGCATTTGAAAGGAGAAACCAGCTTACACTAAGACGGTTCGGATAACCGAACGAAATAAGCGTTTCTGTATATAACCCTAATTAAATAAAGAGGGTTCAGTTTAGTTGGGCTTTGTAAAAAGCTTAGACAAGAATAATGAACCAAAATATTTTTTGATAGCGTTGTTTCTGGTAATAGAGATAGGAAGTATGATTACTGCCCGGTTGATCAGTGATAGGAAATTTATTTACTGAAAAAACACTGATATAGGTTCACAGAAACATCTAGTAACGTTTTCAACAAACTCGAAAATTGTAGAATACTCAGAGATTTTTTCCTTCCCTTCAGCTGCTAACCTTTGTACCATCGTCTTCTGGTGATAGATTAACGGAAACTGGAAAGGTTACTGATGTTTGGACAAGAAAAGTTAACCCATCGTTTAGAGTTTGTTTGTACAGCTTCCTGCATTATCCCTTTTAGAAAAAACCGTGGTGGTTCTTTTTTTTTTCCCAGCCGAATACTGTCGTTATTAAAATGATCCTAACTACTTAGTTTTCAATTCTTCTTTAACGACCGTGGGCTAAGCCTTTAGTAATTAGATCGATATTTCAATCGAAAACATTTACGGTGTTCACAGCTTTCTAAAGTTTACTTTAAGCTATAGGAAAACGTTAAATTGATGCACCGTAATTGTGTTAAATTTTTGGTGTGTTATGTGGTATGGTATGTACAGGTATATTAAATATTTTGGGCGTTTTTGACGCGATTTTCTCGGACATGGATGAGACAATTAGCCCCAGAAGGACCTGGAGCCGAGGTAGTCTTTTAAAACAGATGAACCCCCTAGTTTGTTATTTTGGTTGAAATACTTTCTATTTCCGATCCATGATTTCCTTGATTATTTTCAGCGATTCGATGATTTTTTTTTCTACTTTTCATTGCATCAGTCTTTTTTAATCTTAATCTCGTTGCGTGAACAGGATCTGAGACCATTTCAGTTCAGAAAGGAAACGTTTTGTTGCCAGCGCAATATTTCAGGATATTTGGAGTTGCTATTTCCTTTCACTTTCAATTTGGTTTTTTGTTTTAATCCTATGAGCCAAAGAAACTCCTTTTTCATAATGAAAAGGAAACACTTTTTTTTTATGGAAAGCAATATCTCGGTTTCGACCTGACCTGTTTTGTTGTTTAATGTGTTCGGTTAATGTGCCAAAAGTCTTTTTCACAGTAAGGTTTTATAAGAAGGTATTGTTTTTCTTGCATGGAAAGGCAATACTTCCTTTCATTTAAATGATTATTCAACACATTTTCTTGATCTGTTTTGCCACTGTAGATTTGTGTAACACTCCTCAGTATGGGAGTTATGTAAGCAATTCGCTCCCAGAGGGTCAGAAATGGTTTCCGGTAAATTTGTAAGATAAATGTCCCTCACTTGAGTGAATTTAAACTTGTGCGATCATATTTGGCTGTAAGCTTGGGCAAAGCTATTCCTTGAGCAATGTAGCTGTGAAATCCATTCAGCTACAAAATGGGGGCTCTAGTAAAATAGCATATTAGAATTAAAGACTCCTTTGCGAAACGACAATTTTTCAACGTACAGAACTGCGAGGTGAGCTTCAGGTTTTTCTTTGTGTGTTGAATCCAGTACAGGGAGATCATGATCCTTTTGTGTACTCAAAGCAATACTTGAAACTTGTTTCGGCGGCGTTTTTGTTCTAAATTCGAGAAAGGTACGTCACCAAATGAGTTTTGGTGGTTTGGAGACAAAAGAAAGAAATCAGCTCCAAAATGGAATACTTCAAGTGCTAACTCACTGATTACTGATTGCTAAAACAACACCGAACATCCTTTTTTATTACACTGTTTTCAAATGATAACAGCTTGATGAATTGACTAGAAGTTATTTTAATGCAAATTCTTTGTTTGGTTTGGACCGTTGGTTGTTTGGATTGTTTAGATCCCAATTTCGAATTTGTTAACCGACGTGTAATAAATACTCTCATGACTACTGATTGTTTTCTGTTCTCTGGTTTTGCGTCAAGAGAAGCGTATTTGAAGTTATTTTCCAGTGTAATTCAAAGGTTTTCTTTTAAACCATGAGACAATAAGGGTAGTCTTGTAGATGATAATAATAGGGATCAACATGCAAATTCTCTCCACAATATCAATATCTTTGCAGGGTAACAGGTGTCGAGAAGTCAGAACCGTGATCTTTATGAATAGTTCGACACATAAACACTGAATTCTGTGTACTACCCTCGTTGGGCAAAAATTACAATCAAATTATGTTTTCGAGTTCAACAAAAAACTGAGGTCGTTGATATGAACAAAGCCGCTTTATTGGAAGAAAAATCATTACCCAATTTACCAATTGTAAATCGGTCTCAATACGTCATTTGCAATATTGGGTCTTGCAAAACAATACCTAATAGTTGGCGCACGAAATATTGTCTACCTGAATACTCAACATTCGCTTTCTTTCAATTCATGCGTAATTTTCTTAGTTAGAGGTTGTCGTAAACCTTCACTTAGTCAGTTCAACTAACATACTTTTTGCAAGTGTACAACAGTGATGTCTGACTTTGATACGAACTATATGTCCGGAGTGGCAGCCATCGTGGCGCCAGCCTTATGCCATATCCTGCGATTTTTGACTGTCAATTTTCAACCAAAAACCACCAAGTGGAAAATTGCAGCCGCTGAAGTTGTGTCTGCTGATCGACAGGAAGCGATCTGGTTGAATTGTGGCTGTTCTCGAAAAGCCTTTAATGCAAATTTCAACCTTCTTTTGATTTTCAACTGACAACTTGTTCTTTGATGGCTTTCGCAACATTAAAACATATCAACCGTAATCTAAACAATTATGAAGTACCCTGTCACGAGTAACCATCTCATTTCGAGTATATGGACAAAGTTCATTTGACGTGACATTTGGTCGGAGACCCCGAGGAAAGAAAATTAAATTAACGCCGAAAATCGAGACGATGGTGAAATGAAACGAAAACATAAACAAATTTTAAAGGTTGATTGATTAAGTCGTGGGCAGTCATCGGAAGGAAAATAGCAAAGAAAACATCTAAATGTTGTCTTTTGTTAGACCACTAGTTAATTTGGAGCCGTTTCCCGTTCTATTGATTCACTTACACCAAATTGGACGCGATTGAGAGCGCGAGTTCGTGTCGATGGAAAACAAATCTCGTCCTCCCTAGAGGGTGATCAAGTTGATTTGCGGTTCGTGACAAAGCCGACCAATAAGAGATAATACCGCGCACAAGAAGCGCTAAGGCCTCTTGTCATTTGTCATCAGTGACTGGGTGTGGACTTCCGTTTTGAGTGGGTTTCTTTTGTGTCGTGTTTATGTAGGGCACCATTTGCATTTTAATCTTTCGCAACGGGAAATTAAACTTGAGGCTCTAAAGCTTTTGTTTTGGCTCCCATCTTTTCAAGAACGTAACTCGTTAACGGGTGTACTTGCGTTTAGATTGAACTTTTTTCTCGCGCTTAAGAGGCGATTAACTTGATCAAACGCAGTGGCCAGTTCTCGGTGTGAAAGGGAAAACCCACTGCCTACGTAAGTCGGTGATCGTTCACTCATAGAACCGGAACTAAGTCCCGCCATAGCATACCATCATTTCCGTTAAACAAGTTTATCACTTGAGGGATTTTAAAGCTTGAATTACAATAGAGAATAATCGACCTCGGCTAAATATAAATTACTCAAAACAACGGACTACAAAGGAGTGAGAAGGAAAGTGTTTGGCTTGTGAAACAGGCATTTTTTTTCTTATCGAAGTGCTGCGGCAAGATAATTTACTTCGCTGCGCACGTTCGACTGGCGGGTTAATTGAATCTTTAGAGCTGTAGAAAGAATAGCCAGGATTACACGACAAATTTATTCTCGACTCGTCGAGTGTCCTTATAACGCTGAGAGAGAATATTCATGCGCTGGATGAAGTCTTGATCGCTCATTGTCTGCCAAAGCATTAGCACTGCCGGGGAGTTTTTTGCGCCCGACGGTTTGATAGGAAATTCGCGGGAACTCTTTTCTGGCAGATTTGATAAAAGGAAACATTAAATTTACCAAGCTGATAATCGGAAGTGCCACGCAAGCTAAGAAAGGCCAGCCCATTATAATACAGTCACGACGTAGGTCGCCTTCAGTTTGAATACAGTGACAACACTGAACGGTCGTCGGTGGACAGCGAGCGAAGACTCGTAGCTGAACATCGCTTAATGGCAAAGCACAACTGATCACAGAAAGGCTCACGCTCTTTGAACTCGATGAAACACGAAGGATTAAGCAAGATGATGATGCACGGAACAACAGAACGAAATAATTTCACCCTGGTCGAAAACAAATTGCCTGGTTTAACTACGAACTTTTCTTCAGCCGGCATACCCGAAGAGAGTGATGCGGATGATTACTACCCATTTGTGATTGGACACGGGTCGAGTTTTAAAGTCGTCGACCCCAAAGTGTACAAACATCTGCGTCGACATAATATTCAGCAAAGGGTACCTGTTAAAGTAGCGGACTACGCGAATAAACCGACAGTCGGGAGTCGGAGAACACGCGCTACAACGAACACTAAGTTATCGAGTAGTTCGGACGATGCGGACGAATACTGTGAACTTTCACCGCTTGCGAAAGCGCCCCCCATACCGTTATCTACTCTCCGGTCTCAGCCCGTGGAATTAAAACCCAAGAATAATCTCATGAAAGTGTCCAGTTTCGAGCGGAGACTTTACACAGATTGTTATTATTCAAAGACTAAATCGTGTCTGGTCGAGAGCCAGCCGAGCTCTCCTAAATCACGACCTACTACGCGACTTGTGGACACTAGCTCATTGAAAAGCGAGCGCAGGGAGAACTCTTCACAATGGGCAAAAGAAAAGCAGGAGCCCCTCTTGTGTGGTGTGGAAGCAGACGAGATCATAGACTATGCCACTTGTATGTGTTGTGTTAAAGGTGTCTTTTACCACTGCACCAAAGATAGTTATGATGAAGGACAACTTGCCGATGAACCGTGTTCGTGCGCGGGGCCCGTCAGCTCGTGCGCGCCTCGCTGGGGTTGTCTTGCTATTTTATCACTCTTCATTCCCTGCCTATGGTGTTACTTACCCGCTGTGGGCTGCAAAAAAGCCGCCACGAGCGTCAAGAAGAAGAAAAAAACCCAGAAACGCTTTAAACAATTTAACTCTTCGTAGATGAGGATCCCTTAGAGCAGAACATTTGACTTCATAAGTCAGACTATTGAGGTAATTTTCGTAAAATATACCGCCGTATTTTACGTGCGCTTTTATATGAGTTGAAATCGAATATTTTATTTACCGGGTGGTGAATGATTTGTTAGAAGTTTCAAACAGATTTTCGTTCGCATGGCTGTACTCTTTTACTGCGATTTGGTGTCTATTAGCGCGCGGGGAACTGTTATCTATACTTCTATTAACTCAAATGATGACAGCGTCTGTGTTTCATGTCATTCTGTTTATCGAAAGTTATAAAATGAAATCAGACTTTGAAGATCTTTAAGGGATGACTGATGGATTAAGAAATTTCCTACTGGTTCGATTTCAGGCTATCAAATGTTTCTGTTTTCCCAAGGGCTTTTTCACTCGCTAATCTATTTTGTCTGTTTTGAAAAATTTGTTTGATGTCTTTTGACGGACTCACTTTCACCCGACTTAAAATACACACAGTATTATAATATGCGAATATGCAGCAATGTAAAAAGGAAAATGTTTAGTTAAATTATGACGCGCAGAAAAAAAAAAATTATAATTTATGAAGTTATTAATCTCTGTATTTAAGTTTTCTCCTGTTTGACTTTTGTATGTAAAATTGCTCCTTCTCTGAAGACTTGTTACTTCAAGGTTAAGATATGCGGAACACTCAGAGAAGAATGGAATAAATCTGGGTGGTTCAGGATATGTTTTGTGCCTGGTAATTTCTTGTTCGTAAGTTTTCAGCATTCCTTCATTAGTTAACTACCTCGTTCCTTCCGTTAGGTTAGTTAGAACCCGCCTCCCAAGTTGTGATAAATGTATTTCAGTTTTTGTCTCAACACTTAACCCAAACTATTGGATCATTTTGAAAAGCGCGCAATCCTTTGCTTTATTTAATGCAATCGTGGCTAGGTATCTAAAAGCGTTGGCGATGTTTCTATGGCATAATTTAATCTAAGCAAATGAGTTGGCCACAAATGTTTCTTTCCTTGTGATAACAAAAGAAACCTTAGCATGTGACGTGCTGATACTCTGTTATCGCGCTTTCAGTCGGAAACGGAAGTGGGAGGCGTCTAATTTCGATACTCGATGTTTCTTCACAGCGCTCAGTGGTCAGTGGGCTTCCGCTGGCTCTCTAAACGTCTTTTCGTCCAAAATAGATCGAAAGAGAGCGATATTTGCCCGTTTTAACCTTTATCTGGAGCATTTGTATTATTACTGTGAGCATGAATCATTTATATGTAATATCAACTTTCGGATCCTTTCGTTAAGTTATTGAATAGTTTTACACTGTCCTGAACCTTTTGTTGCGCGCAATTTTGATAGCAGCACGAGTTCCGTCTTTTGACAATTGGATATCAAAACGAGATGGATAATCCTTAGTTTCTGTGGAGGATTTTAGCCTCTCGCGCCGCGATAATTGAAAAAAATCGTCGGATTGAAATATTGTTCGTCAAATGCGATAAGAATGGTCAACGAGGAAAGTGTAGTGTAAAAGTTTTCATTTTCTCGTCTTTTCAAAATTTAGTCGTTCAAGTTGTCAAGCACAGGCACCACTTGTTTCTTCACTTGGGTTGACTTCAATTAATGGCGTAAATGGAGAAATTTTAGTTGCGTGCCTCAGTTAGCTGAAGATGATCTGACGGAAATAGGCTAGTAACCTTCTGATCAAGGCTTAAAAAAGAACTTGAGTCGTTGAATAGGCTCAAGTTGTTGTTATTTTCTTTATCGGAGAAAAGCGTTTACTTCTATCACAATATCGAGTTTATCGCCATGCTTTTATTTTTGTTTACGTCAACAAGACTCTATATCGTGAATCATTTATTTTACATTGTGTACACTTGCACCTCGTGTGCAGCTTGCAAGTTTAATGAGAGTTCAATTTTGACATGATGCTTTAAGCTTTTATTAAGATTACCATCTTGAACTCTCTCGTATAACTACCACGCATTTAATGATCGACACATTTCGGTAGGGAAGGTGCAGATTATTCAGGTGGTTACGCTAGTTCAGCCATAGAGCCTGGCTGGGAATTTCTCATCGTATCGAGCCGCATTACAATGAAGTAGAAATTAAGTGTTTAACTCTGACATCACGAACTGGCTAATGCAGCCATGATAATTTTGGGCCCGCAGCTTCGAGCCATGAGAAACGCTTTAACCACATAATTTCAAAATCCAAGGGGCATCTTTCACTAAATACTTACAAATCATTTGAAAACTTTGTTGGCATGTAAATGATGTGTGGGTTGCTTCTCCACGCACTACTTTTAACAATTCTTCTCTGGTTCCGCTATGGTTTCTGACGCCCCATTCTCACTGAATAGTAGAGGGCGTCAAAGGCGTGAAAAGGCTTAATTTTATTAAAGTAATAAGTATTACTTAGTGCTACAAAACATCAAGCCAAGCTTTTCACGCGTTGAATGACAGATTGGTATCATAGAAATGTCGAGCACTTCGATTATTATGTGATGTCTGTAGACGTACTCAATCAGTTCAGTGCCATGGGTGTTTTTTGATTAGAATGAAAATAAACATACTACTCGTTGCTCAATTTAATCTATTTATCGTGAAGCTTTATAAAAGTCGAACCTCAAAGTTCCTCCCATCTTGAATAATGTTTATGTATCGCCAGACCTCTTCCCGCTTTGAAGCGAAATCGGTAACCACCACGATCTTATTCATCTTTCCCACGACTATCATAACTGTTTTGAAAGTTTTTAGCCATGCTTTGTATAGCTTAAGTGACTCTATCAGAGTTGCAATTTCTTATAATATTGAAGTGAATGTGACATTGAGCTGCCTAAACGAATTCTTTCAATATTTTTCCCTCTACGGTACTGAAATAAACAATTTGTAACAATGTGTTAAAGTATGAGGCCAGTCATCGCCAATGATAATCAGATAGGATCTTATAAATTAGCAGGTTGTCCTCGAAATGTATCATCTTTTTAAAATTTGTCCCATTTTGCCAAGCGTAAAGTTTCAGGGAAGGTTTGAGATATTTGAAAAATTCATTAATATAAGTATGTTGTTTTGTTGTCAAATATCTGCATCTCGTATGTCCCAGAAATTTTCTGCTATTGTTTTCTTTCGCCCTACAAGACTGACTTCGTGGGACTTGAGACTAGGTTTATCTTGAAACAGGTATTTTATTTCGAAAATGTTTTTGTTTAAACGGAACACTGCTATCGAGTCTTGGGTCTAGACGAACAATATTAACGGAAAAAGTGTACGAATCATTCAGGATGCCACTTCACCACGAGAGAACTGAAGTTTTAGTATTGGGATGATATTGTTGTTTCGCTTTGATAAGGTAAAACCCCCTTGTCGCTTGGAGCGGAAGGGAAATCTTGACCTTTTTATAGTCGAGTTTACGACAGGTTGCATCGAGATGGTCAGTATTGTTCATCTTGAAATCTAAATATATCTTTGTTTTCGAAGTTTTGGAACTGAACAACAGGTCATTAAAACAAGGGAGGGGAAGGTCAGGCTTTGTGAAATGTACCTCATAGCCGGGGTGAACATATGACTTCCTTCTAAGAAAAACAGGGCGTTGGCTCACGAGTTTCCTTTAACTGCCGTATGAAATTTCCTAGTCAATACGCTAGCCACTATTTCTCCGGTATGCAATTTCATAACATGCTAATCACGCTAAATCACGAGCGAGAGTTCAGTCAACAGGAAATTTTGCCTGTGGCTAAAAAGGCGTTTCTTCTGGTAAACATTAAAGTCTTCAACGAAGGTGAATCGTGACAATTTGAACACGGACTAAAGAAATGGTGAGGGACTAAATGGCTTGTTTTTTGTCATACCTCACAGAATATTAAAAGATAGTGATACAGCTTACAGGAAAGGAAACAGTTTTTTATATTAAACGGGATTAGTGTGCTTAACTCGCATGCCTTAAATGCTGACGCACTGAAACTGAAAAAGAATTAATATGATTTATCCTTTCCGCCAAACAGTTTTGGCACAATTATTTAGCTGTACTTACAATTCTGCTGAGCATTTGTGTTGAACAGTATGACGCTCTAATTAGGACATAGTTGTGCCGCGGACATACTTTTGTAAACGAACTGAAACTGGAAGGAAGTGCAAGCCCAATTTTGAGCTCGTGGGATCCTGCATTAGTCGTTGTTTTTCATTGTTGTTGAAGGCGTTGGCATATCTCTTTTCCTTTCTTTTATTAGAATAGCCGGTATTCTTTGCGACTCAGTTCTGCTGTCACGTCCCACAAGTGTCTGTTAAAACTAATATATGAGTTCGTATGAGTTTTTAGTTTGTAGAGAAAAACCAGAAAATGCGCCAGTGTTTTCTAGCGTTGCGCAGCGCATAGAACAAACAGCTAGTAAGTTCTGGCATAGACTTTTAGTAAAGGTGTATTATGTTGTCTCGTTAGAATGAAAAAAATAGCATGCTATATACGCCTAAGTTTTACATTCAGAGGAAAATGCTTGAGCTAACATCTCGTTTTTGCCGAAGAACTGTAAATAACTGCAAAGAAGTAAAACATTTCTAACGTCGAAATCTGATTAAAGCCCGATCGTAAAGCGTCGTGAACAACGCTAATCGATAACGAGAAAATTAATGCAGGTAGAAAAACACCAACTGAAAAAGTCTCTGAAACCTCAATAAAGATCTGATGGAAAAGTTAGCCAGCTACTTTCTCAGAAAGGAGAGATATGAAAAGCGGGTAGACGCTAAAAAGATGTTGAACAAGTTGATTCTCAAATATTGATAATCCGACCGGATGATAATATTACTAGGTATTCGTGCTCTCGTGACTTTTCAATAGCGGCATTAAAACTTTCGAGAGCCATATTTCCTTGCTACCCTCCCCCCCCAGGTTGGTTTTCCGTCCTATCGTGGTGAAACGTGACTCTGTCTTGTGAAGATTGCGGCTCGTGGGCACTAGAGGTCTAGTTTCGCCCACTTGACTAAAATAAGGTTTTGCGGACGGACGGGTCGCGTGATTTCAACCAGAAATCAATATGATTTTCGTGTGCCGCCGCTACTTTCCGCCGTTTCGTGACAGAAATCTCGTGTTGCTGGGACGTGCCATCTGGGTTTTCAAGTTTCATACGTTTCAAGTGTCCTGCTGTGTATGTTTTGGGCGAAATTTTTGTGTGCTCCACACGCATCAGGATAGCAAGAAAAAATACAGACAACTAAGCAATCTGTAATTTTTAATGAAGCACCTCGAAGGTATAACAAGATTTACATAATTTAATAACCAAGACGAGGATGATCAGGACACTACTCATATATTCTATATCTGTACATCTTACCCTACAGCACACGCCAATTTTGTTTTTAAGGGTACAATTCATTTGTTTATCGTTTAAGATACATAGAACATACTGGTTAACCTCCATGGCTATTTATATTTTGCTGTGCAAGTTTTTGTTTTAAAATCTTCAGCTGTTCATACTTCTTCCAGCGGTTTTTTCTCGTGCAGACCTGGGAGGTTATCCCGTCACTTGGACCCCACGATATATCCTCCCTTTCCTTCCTATTTGGAGTTTCCTGTGCTCTAT